CCCTACTATACTCTCTCCCTCTCCCCCCCCCCCCTCTTTCTCTCTCTGTCTCTCTCCCCACCTCCCCTACCTCCTCTCTCTATCTCCCTCCCCCTCTCGTGCTCGCCGCTCCTCTTTTCTCCACCCCTGTTTCCACCCTCCATACACGCACTTTTCGCTCCACCAGTCCTGCGCCCCGGGCCCCCGTCCCTTCACACTCACCGCCCCCTCTCTCTCTTTCTCACTCTGCCCCTCTCTCTCTCTCTCTCTCTCTCTCTCTCTCTGTCTCTCTGACTCTCTCGCTCTGCCTCTCCCACATTATCCACTCCGCCTCTCCTTTGTACGCGTTGTAAACATCCCCTCCCCCGACCCCTTCTGGATCCGCTCCAAAGACTGATACGGAATCAGTTTGTGCAACGCGGTGTCTCTAGCTTTACGGGGGGCCCGAATATGTTCCGGCAGCAGACTTGGCCAGGTTTGCTGTTGTTGGTGTTGTTATTGCTCTTCTTGGTGGCGGTTCTCTCCCCCCAGCCCCGCTCCTCTGCCTCTTGTCTGAACACATTTCGTGTAGGGCCCTATTGAGTGTATTATACCGAGCCTTGTAAATTCCAGGCTCATTATTTTCCATCAGAGGCTAATGAAAACTCGGGGTTGCACTATCCTGGCACCAAAGTGTGTGTGAGGAAACTTAGGGGGTGAGGTTCATGTGTGTGTGAACCAGAAACCAGCCGCCTGTGGGTGCGGGTCTGTTCATTTCCCAGTTTCCCTTGTTATTGTATGAATTGAATGCGAGCAGTAGATTTGTCTTAGTTTCCGTCCGCAATAACCTATTCTGCGCGAACTACTTTGTAAACTACAATTTCTTCCAAGAGGGAGGGACGCATTCTCGGACGCTTTTTAATCGCGCTAGTCTTCACCTTTGTTTTCTCAGTGCACCGGCCCCGACGGCACCCCGCCCCCGCCACCCGCCGCCAGCCAGCGCGCTCGCCTCGCCTCCTGATGATGGGAGGGGGAAGCGAGACATTTTAATGATTCATAGTTTTATATATCCGAGGAAATGAGCTGCCATCAAAGCGTTTCTAGCAGCGCGCTCTAGCCGAGCGAAGAGGCGGCAAGGCTCGAGGATAGTCTTGTTGTTGGTTCCGTCGCGGGCGTGGTGGGGGGTGGGGGTGTTCTTGAGGGTTAAAGCGCCTCGTATCTGCGAGGGTTTTGGCATGCAGTATGCGGGCGGACACAAAATAAATATGAGGGAACAGTGAGACCTTGATCAAAATCAAATCACACGACGGTATTAAAATCACACAGCAGACAACCGGCCAGATGGGCGTGGCCCGGTATGGTGCCTGTGTATTCAACGATACGATGCGACGTCCTCTAAAAAGTGGGTCAGTCGATGGCGGACGGGGGATTCCCGGTGCCGTCGGGGCGGGGGAGGCGGAGGGGAGCTCAGCAAACCAAACTATACAGTCCCATCATAGACGCGCGCGGGAAAGCGCAGAGGGGCGCGCGAATTTCCCATTTGCATATTTTAACCGTGTCGGTGGCGGCGGCCCCGCTCTGCTTCCAGGCGCGGATACAGCAGTGCCAGACGACGATCAGCAAGCTGAGCCAGGAGAACGAGGCGCTCAAGAAGCAAGTCAAGAGTTTGGAGGCACAGGTGAGTCCCGCACGCGGTCCCGCTAGCGGTCGCGCTCGCGCCGAGCGCCTTGGAGAGCGCCGGGTGGGCCGGCCGCCCCGCTCGGCTGTCGGCCGGCTGGCCTACCCCGCTGTTGGCAGGGGTACTGCCCCAAGCGGCTGGGACCATGGTCGACTCCAGTCTGACCGCCGTTTACCGAACCAGAACGAGAATCACAAGGAGAATTTTTTTTAAAATCCAAAAAATTTAATTGTGAATTTTAAAATATTTGTACACTTCTGAAGACTTGCGTCATGTTTTCCCGATCGTGCTCTTGACGGTTTACTTTGCCTGCTCCAGCAACAGGGCGGCGGCGCTGTGCAGGCGGCGCTGCTGGAGCGGCTGCGCGCGCTAGAGGCGGACAACCGGCTGCTGTCGGGCGACGCGGAGCAGCAGCGGCGGCAGTACGAGCGCTGCCTCGACGATGTGGCCAACCAGGTGGTGCGCGCACTGCTCTCGCAGAAGGGCCTGCGCGAGGAGATCGGCGCCCTCCAGCACCGCATCCGGGAGCTGGAGACGCAGAACCGGGCGCTCACCACGCTGCTGGTGCAGCAGGCGCACCACGGCGACCAGCAGCAGCAGCAGCTCAAGCAGATCACCGCTGGTGAGGTGACGGCGCCGGGTCTGCCCGGCCTCGTCGACGACATGGTGACCCTGTCCAAGCCGCGCCTGCGCCGGCCCGCCGGCCGGCACCGACCCTCGCCGACGTGCGGCGTGAACCACCCCGCCGACCCGGCGGCCGCTATCCTGGCCGCCGTGGCAGCCATCGACCCGGCACTGTGGCTGCAGGTACGTGCTCCCTTCTCACCCACGCTGTCCGCTTGTCGGAGTTTAGTAACAGCCCCCCTACAATGACCATGCTGTTAGACCACCCCACATGATGTGGTTTGTCCTCCCCAGGTCTCTCGGCCGCAGTCGCTGCACCTGGTGCCGCCGGTGGAGGGCGCGCAGGAGGCCAGCGCGGTGCGGGCCACGGTCAGGGAGGCCTGCTCGGCCGACTTGACCGAGTCCACGACCGAAGTCGGCAGCTGGAAGCAGGACGACCAGCAGGCGGCTACGGGTGAGTCACAGCTCCTACTCCAGCTACCTCCGGTGCACCTCAGGCGCACCTCCACCCTTGACATGCTTTTGTCTAAAACCGCTTACTCCCTACAGACGTGGATGCAGAGCTCCCCTCAGAGGTGGCCGTCGAGGCCGTGGCGGCGGCTGCCGTGGTGGAACGGGAGGACCAGGACGGCAGCTCCAGCCCCGAGAGCAGCCCGGAGAGCGGCAACCGGGATGAGGGCTACTCCACCATGTCGAGCGACGTGCAGGTGGAGGCGTCCTCGCGGCTGTGCGAGCCCACCACGGCCTCGGCGCTGCACGCCAACGGCCTCGGCCAGGAGCTGGAGGAGGTCGAGGAGGAGGCGGAGCAGGGCGTGCTGGAGGCCGTGGCGGAAGCGATCACTGGCGGTGCCGTGCCGGTGGGCGGCGGGGGTCGTCTGCTGCTGCTGGACCTGCAGGCGCTGAGCGCACGACACAGCTTTCCGCCTGCCCGAGACCTGCAGGTGAGCCCAACGGAGCATCATATACCGATCTTGTCTTGGTGCGTAGTGACGATGCTCACGGGATACTTCTTGTGCTGCAGGCCGCACTCCGCAACAGCTTCTCCGATTCGCACCTGTGCCTGTCGCGGCTGCTGCAACACGCTGCGTCCTTCGCGTCCACGCCCGCGTCCTGCCCGGCGACGGACAAGGTTCTGCTCGTCGACCTGGGGGACGTGGGTGCGGGGGCCGGGGCGGGGGCTGGGAGGCAGCACCCCCTACGGCGCGCGCGGGCCACCCCAAACCTGCTGCCGCCCCTGCCGCCACCCCCACCGCAGCTCGGCTCGGAGGGCGAGGACGACGCCGACCTGGCGGGCGACTGGTGGGACGCCGACTACGTCCAACACTGGCTGAGGCTGGACGAGACGAGGTCGGCCCTCCAGCAGCGCCACCGGGAGGCACTCGATCTCGACCTGGAGTACGACCAGGCCGAGCTCGAGGACTGGAGCCTGTCCCTGTCCTGCGAGGACCTGGACACGCCCTGGAGAAGGCCCCCGCACAACGCCACGCAGGCACCACCAGAAGCGACCCCCGCCCCCGCGCCGCAGAGCCAGCTGCCAAGCATCCAGGTGAGACGAGAACTTTACTGAAAACCAGACAGGGGTATTGGTAGCGGTGGCCAGTGCCATCCGAGCGATACCAGCGTGCGGCCGGTTCGCCTCTAGGATCGTCCAGAAAGAACGTCCGCTTTATTCGGCAAATTGCGGAAGCTCGGCGCCTGCGAGACTCGGGGTCGGCCAGCCCGTAGTACACGACTGCACTGCATACAAGATGTTGCCTACCTATCAGGCGCTATGAGCACGGCAAATGACGCACTTACTTTCTGGATGACCCCTATGCGTGCAGAGCGATGAGGCACCGTGGCTAGACCATGACACCTCAGAGTTCTGAGCGCACAGGCAACCCGCCTGCACCCCTGCGCATGATGCCATTCGTTCTGACGGCGCTGGGCTCTAGCCACCCACCTGTACTGTTCGACCGGTTGCTATGCCACGGCTTCGACAAGTACCGATATATATAATAATTACTGTGGCCTTTTCCACAGATCACCTTCACCCATCTTTCTGTATATTTCATTGATTTTGCCCGACGCTAAACTAATAACTCGTGGAACCTTTCAGGAAAACAACTCACAGGAATTGGAGGAGGACTCGAGCGAGTGCCTGTGGAACAACGCGAGCTACATGCAGCCGGCGGGCGGCGCGGGCGCGGGTGACGGCTGCCGGGACGGGCTGGGCGCGGGGCTGGTGAACGGGCACGCGGCCGCGGCCGGCTGGCCGTACGCGCTGCAGGCGCTGCCGCTGCTGGACCAGGCCGACGCCATGATCTCCAGCCTTGCCGTGAACGCGGCGGGCTCTTCACCCGGTGGCAGCTGGTCGTCGTCGGCCGCCGCGTCGGACTGCTACGACTGCTGCCTGAACGGCTGCCACGGCGAGGACGGCTCGTCCAAGCGCTCGTCCGCCGCGCTCAGCGGCTGCAGCGACGAGAGCGCCGCCACGAGCGCGGCCAGCCGGGAGTCGCCCACCGTCGGCACCGACTTCACCCGCGACTTCTACCGACTAGTCAAGTTCGAGAGCACCAAGAGCCTGGCCTCCAACTCGTCGTCGCGTCACTCGCGGGGCCAGAACAGCGACCACAACAACATCAACAACAACCTGCCCGCGTCCATGGACCGCGAGCAGGCGCTGCAGAGCGTGCTCAAGTTCATCGCCGAGCAGCAGAAGTACTGCCTCTCGCGCGAGGAGCAGGACACTGCCACGGAGCAGCTGGGCAGCCGGCCCGTCTCGTACTCGTTCAGCGTGGACGACGAGCACGCCGGGGCGGGCGCGGCCGAGCCGCCCGAGTCGCTCGACTCCATGGAGATGCGGTCGGAGCCGCGCTCGCTGTCCAACTACAGCGAGGGTGACGCCGGCGACGTGGACACATCCGGCAGCGAGGCCGTCCACCGGGAGAAGAACAACGACGCCGAAGTGGTCGTGGACGCCCACGACGAGATGTAAGTCTACCCAACAATTACTGTCCCCTTGGGAACCCCTTGTATTCCTTTTGTCTCACGTTGCTGTACCCGTGTTTAGAGTCGCGGTCGACATGGTGGCCTCCACCGCCGCCGCCGGGGGCGCTCACGCCTCGCCGTCACCGGCTCTCCTGCCCACGGTGCTGGAGGACGAGGAGCTGGACACGTCGCCCTGCAGTCGGCGGCATGCCGTCCTGGAACACGAGGAACCGTCGTCCACGTCGACCTCGGCGTCGTCTGTACCGTCCGTGCTGGTGTGCGACGCCAACGACAAGGCTGTAAGCTTCCACGAGAACGCCACCTCCAAGGACGTCATTGACGAGCTCAACAGAATGATCCGGAAGGGGGAAAGCGAGGAGGCCGTTGTTGCTCCGGGCGGCCCGTCGCGGCCCGAGTCCAGCCATGGGGCGTCCGAGGCCACGGCGGCGGCGTCGACCTCCTCCAGCATCGACAGCGCCGCCCTTTGCTGCCCCACCGGCTGGGTGCACGTGGAGAGAGAGATAGACTTTACGGATCCCAAGGTGCGTAGTCCTCGGTCTCCTCCTCCCGGCGGCCCCGCCGCGCCCGGCTGCGGCACCAGACTAGACTCATCAGAACGTTGTATTGCAGGCGCGGGCCAACCTGCTCGACGTGATGCTGGCCTCGAGTGGCAGCGGCAGCGGCAGCTCCGGGTCCATGAGCAGCAGTGGCAGTGAGAGCGGGGACGCCGAGGACCTTCCCGGAGACTACCGGCACCTGCATCGCCTGCACCGGTTCCGACGGCAGAAGAAAGGTAGGTCGCCGCCACAGTGTGGCCGCACTGGTGTCGGCCGGTTGGGCCGAGGGTTCACACCAACTCCCTGTTGTCACTCACTAATTCCGTTGATCGACTCGCAGCCTCCGCCTTCCGCGAGCCGTTTGGAGTGCTCCGCCTCCCGGCGTCCAGCCTGCGGCCTTCCATCATCGGCCGCGACGACTTCTTCGTGCGCTACGGCGAGAAGGAGCGCGAGGCCATCTCGAGCTTCGACTTCCTCGACGACATGTCGACCGCGTCCATCAGCTGCGCGTCCGGGGCGTCTTCCACGCTCGGGTCGTTGCAGAAGCTGGACGCGTCGGCCGTCACCGACCAAGCCGACGACGACGGGCGGGGCTCGACGCCGACGCCCCAGGCGACTGAGGGCCGCGACGAGCGGACAGGCGGACAGCTGTGTCTCGGCGACTCCCTGTCGGGCTCGAGGTCGAGCCTGGACGACCGTGGTCGACAAGTCGAGAGTTTTGTCTTGTGATAAACTGACTGAGGTGAATCCGTGTAGAAACATCCAAGCATATAGTGAGTGCCGCTCTTGGGGAATAAGGCGAGCTTTTGCTGTTATGCCCTGTACCGTGAATCTTCTGGTCTGTGCTGTTGACTCAAAGCGACCATTTCAGATTCCTGCGAAAGGAATAACCAAAGGCCGGGATGTGACCTAGAGCCGCGTAGTGTGTTGGCAGACAAATTACTATTTCTGTATGTGACTGAGAGAACCTGGCCACAAATGACCAATGATATCATTTTCAAGATTGAGAGGCTCAGAAATCTCTCATATTTGAAGAGAAATTGTGAACTCATGCTAAACAGGGTGAGCATTCTAAGCCGTCTTTTTTTTTTTTTTCGAGGTCTGCTTGCCCGTGACCGGACGCGGCTGGTCCCAAAGCTCGCCTGTCAGCTTGAAATCAGCTGAAAGTACAACCCCCCCCCCCCATTTCTTACTATTGTATACCTCAGCGGGAAGGATGACTTAGAAAACGCACCCTGTATTATTATAACGCTGATCTGACATACTGATGATGAAATGTTCTTACAAATATTGTGCTACTTGAATAACTACAAATAGTGCTATAAGATGATAGTTGATGGACCATGTGATATGTTGTTACAAATTGTTTTACCTATACCCAGGCTCCAGCTTTGTCTTAAAATTTGACAGAAAATATACTATATGCTTTTCATTTTATTTACAGCAGTCAATTTTTGAGAAGAATATTTTAAGTACCTGTTTTAAATCATTCTTTTGTGTATAAAGTTAATACTCAGTGTACATTTCTAATATAGTATGTATGATGAAGGCAAGACAAGCTTCTGCTGTACATAGGTTCCAGATTCCATGGATGGTTTTAAAGATGCGTATTATAGTTGTGATACTTTGATAAACCAAAATAAATTTAGTTGTTTAAGAGAATAATCAAGTTGGAAAGGTACACTGAACAGACAAACACTCAATAGATGATTCTGAAGGATTTCTACTGCAAATTTAGCTTTCAATCACATTCACATCTTGCAAATTGCTCTACCAATTCAAATTATTAGTGTGAGTATACTTCATTGTTAATCTCTGAGTTGAAATAGACATTATGATAAAAATAGAAAATTATAGTAAATGTCAATTCAAGAGGAGATACAGCATTCAAAGCAGCTACCAAAAAGTATTGGTTCTTAAGAAATGAGACTAAATTTATCACACATGGATTAGTTTATTGCTTTGAACTAATATCAATTAAAACCTCTCAATTTGTATTGTCTTAAACATATTGACTGTACCTAGTTACTCCTAGATTGTGTACATTAATACCCAAGCGTTTATATTTCTAGTAATATTTAGGATTAAAATGTGTGATACTATGTAAAAATATACCCTGCATCAGCTGTTATTTATTTATGGTGCAAAAGGTAGTACAAGGCCTACTATTAATGTTTAGTGTCACATCATGTGATGATTGGCAAAATAAAGTCTTTTTCCAAAACTTCATGAAACGATTCTTTCATGCCACTTTGCTTTGCTAAACTCTTACAGCTTACTAAAAAATTCCATCATCATCTTCTAGGAGGCAATCCACCAGACCAACAACCGAAAAAAAAAAGTTCGTTCAAATGAGAGTAAAATGAGGTAGTATAGCCCTAAAACTAATACCCAGTGACACAAAAACTCACTTTTAGTCATTTGAAAGGGTGGAGTTCTCAATTGTGCACCTCCAGGATGATCCTGGAGGTGCTACCAAGGCCGCCAGTGGAGACTTAAGGTCTGCTTAACAGTATTGTTTCAATAAAACGTGAGTTCAAGGGGTTTTGTGGTCGCTGATTGCGACGCCGATGACCTATTCATCCTCCAGGGTTGGGGAGTCCCGGAGGGTCATCCCCGGTCATCCCGGATCATCCAAGGCGTCATCGGGGACCTAACGCCGACGACAGAATGTTACCAAAAACAGTTTCTTCCAGGGGTTTTTATGGTCGCTAATTGCAATGGCGGTGCCCTCTGTGCTGTGCAGTCTTAATCCAAACCGACTATCGATGACCTGTTAGGCCGACACTAAGCGTGTGGCCCGTGGCCCCCGCACAGTAAACAGCCCTAAGAAATGCTCATCTCGCCCCCAGACAAACGCAAGGGGCCGCGGGGCAGGTAGGCAACACGCACGCCTGCCTGCGGTACAGGATAACCACGACGACTGGCGGTTCGCCTACCCCAGGTGGCCTTATGGATGTGTTTAAATTTGTAAAAATAAAAAAAAAAGCCGACCACGTTTAGAAAGATTTGCCATCGCTTCAGTTCGATGGAAAGCAGATATCCGTGGTTTCGCCGGATCTTACCACAACTTTCAAGGAAACCATCAACCATGATTCTGTCGATCGTTGTAGCGATCCCGGATGTTTTGGTCGTCATTTTAGCGAACAAAAAGACATTCAAATGTAAAACCATAGTCTATCAAATACTATCAAATATGATGCAAAATGCACGTGTTAATATGTTATTATGTTACGACGTTAA